AGAAATCAAAACATAAAAAGTGAATAAGTAATTGAAGGAAAATGCTCTAAAGGTCCCAAGATAAAATAAAAATAAATAAATTAAAAAAAAACAGTTTCCCAATCATAACTAGAGAATTTTTTTTTTACTATCTATTTGAGCTAAATGGAGTTATAATGATCAGTGGTCTAGTAGAGTAGCTAATTTTCTGTTTAAGTGCATGTTTGCCTTTAGCATCAATGCACAATAGACACATGAAGAGACAGCAGCTGCTGCTGTAGGCACCAACGTGTCTTAAATGTCTTTCCATTGAAGGTTTTCATTCTCTATTCAACAGCTAACAAATAAGAATTATCCCATGTCTTTTATTTCAATGTAGGTATGCCTTGTTTCTATGGTGATGCATTCCTGTTATCCAATGTGCAGGTCTATTTTAAGCTTCATATGTTGTTGAATAACGGCTCCAACACAATTATGATGCAAAGCAAACTCTTGTAGCTGTAAGCCTTGAGCTGCAGTTTTCTAGAAATATTTCAACATTTGCTCGTCACTGGCTCAGAGGTCGATTCTCCTTACACCACAGTTGAAAAAGAATTAGGAAAATGGAAGACAGAGAGGAAGAGTGAGAGGCAGCAGGTTAGCAAGACAGTTAGACTCTCCCACACTGCAGCCGATATTACTCCTCACGTGAGACTAACATCTCGTGCTTCCGGTGTGAATCTGAGGTCAGTATCAACAGCAAAAATAGTGTGAACTTTTTTGTATTTTAATTTTGACCACATGGGCTTTGTTTGTGTTGCAGTTGTTTTGGTTGTCTGTTTACGTCTAATTTACATTGAGCCATGTCTAATTATTGTGTTTACCTTCACACACAAACAACCTGCATAGGTAAGGGAATACATTTACCACAACAACCACCAACATATTCATTCAAACCAAATAGACATTCAGTCTGTGGGAGGGGCCAGCAGCCATTGGGTATGGCTCTACAAGCTAATTTCCATCTCTATGTTGGGGTATGAACCACCAGAGAGAGGGAAAAGTGCACCATCAGCCACTTTTGATGACTGGGAAATTCTAATCTATGCAGTTAGAAAAAGGTTACACATGTGCATTTCCCATGTTTATTATACTCATGATCTGTGTCACAAAACAGGTGAGCTAGTGGTTCCTAGTAGGTCTAGTCTGTTACTACTGATGCCTTACCAGTGATGTGACACTTCCTCCTCTATAGTGAAGGTCATGGCTTTGTCAAGGAAATGTATTCATCTTTTAGGGAGCAGGAATGCATAACTGTCCACTATTTTAAGAAAGATCATGTGTGCAATGTTGGCATTTTGGATTAATTTAATTTAATTACACCCATAAGATTTTTGTGCACATTTGTAAATTTTAATAAAATTTTCAGTTAATCAAATGATTAAAATTAGGCTTCATCTTCTGGGGACAATGAACAGAACATTATGTAACTGCGCATTTGGAGAAGAAATCAGAAAACGGAAATCCCTTTTACCCCACTGACAGTGTAAACAAACCACTACCCATGAAACAAACATGACAGGATGTGTATTGATCAGCGTAAATAGACTGTGACAAGATAAGATACTGTCAAGATAATGATACTATGTAAGTGTCTTGAAAAATAATGTTCTGTTCCCATCATTTGTGACAGTATGTTGCTGAAATTTACACACAAATTGTGAAAGAAATAATTTAGAAAACTTCTCCACCTGACTTTGGATCAACCAGTCAGGTCCATAACACGCATTGTTGAGATGTGGATGTGTTTGCCCATAACAACCTTTTCTGCATAGGTTCACAAAGATGTTTACGTGTACCACAATAATTCCAGCTCTATGCTTAAAGTTGCACAACAGTCAGAATCTGGTCACTTTCACCAAGTGGTATGAGTTTACAGAATCAGAGTACAATACAGTACATCCAACCTACATACTCTACAGGCTCTTTGCATCTCAACACACCTCTGATATTTCTCAGCTCTACCATGTCCCTAGTTCCCATCATTCACCTGGGACTGTTTATAACTGTCATAATTTAAGCAGCCTGAGTCACGGTTGGCTCAGTCAACATTGAGGATAATGACACAAGAAAATGGAAAGAAAGCTAGCAGAGCCAACTAAAAGGTTCCATTCAATCAGAAACACTGGCCCAACTAGGGTTGGGCGATGTCTACTGATGTCTAATTCCGTTCAAATTCCTGCTTGAATTCCAAGAAATGTGAGAAGCATATTTAAAATCTATAATAATGTTCATGTTGATTAAAACCTGATGGACGATGGCATTTATCGGCCCAACAACAACAAATGTGACATCTTTGACTTTTTTTTTTCATTACTGTGTCTTTTTATGGGTAGAGATATAGGTTTCAGTCTCCAATATATGTGGGCACTTCTGCAAAAACATAAATCACAAATGAGCTGCAGTTCAGGACTGCGCATGATGGCCTGTCAGATAAGAGCTTTTTAATGACAAGCGCTTGTGGAATTTGGTTAATCATGTGGCTGGACTGGCCGTAATATGTATGCGACAAGAATGTTGCTGCTGTCAAATGCAAATCAAATGTGAGTTCCTGTGGAGAGACACAGACAGGAAGAAACACAAAGAGAGAGAGTGAGAGACAAGACGGACAGGGGGAGAATAAGAGGAGACAGCCAATAGGGAGACATCTGCCTCTGAAGGCTGCTCTCATATGAACTCGTGATTGAGAGCGAAAGCCTCATCGCCTTAAGAGGTTATGTAACAGCGACGGTATCACTGGGTGGACAGAGGTAATCCCAGGCTGTGTGTGTCTATGTTTGTGTGTTTGTGAGCATGAGAAATAGTGTGGGTGTGTGTGACGTAAAGTAGGGATGAATAAAGCAATAAAAATAATGTGTCAAGAGGGAACTCTGTGTATAAGTGTGTGTGTGTGTGTGTGTGTGTGTGTGTGTGTGTGTCCTGGGCCAGGCAGAAATGATGACCCCAGTATTTCTATGGCCCAGAAGTGCCACAAGGCATCTTTTATTAACTAGAACTTGGCTGAGCTTGACCTATTTGAGATTAAGTTGTGTGTGTGTGTGTGTGTGTGTGTGTGTGCATGTGTGTGTTTGCAAACAAATATGTGTGTTTACACATGCTTATCTGCTTGTGTGTGTGCGAGCCAGCAGTGTGTGTCTGCACACATATGTACGTGTGTGTGTGTGTGTGTGTGTGTGTGTGTGTGTGTGTGTGTGTGTGTGTGTGTGTGTGAGCTAAAATGTGGTTGCAGTTTCAAACAGTGTGTGTCATCAAAAACTGTAATTAAAAGTCAATGCCTCCATTTTTTCCCTCAGACTCTGTTTACCCCCCTGCTATCTCTTCCATGCTGGCTTCCCATCGTGTAAACACGCCAGTTTTTAATTTACAGCCAGCGGTCCAGATAGGTAAAAACTCATTTCATTACCCAGCAAGAAGGAGGCGGACAACAGCATGGGCTACCTTTACAATCAAACGCTCCAATCTTACCTATACTATTTATCTTCTGTCTGGTAGTTTATCATATTTTGGCTGCCAAAGACAAACAGAATTTTGTGTGTATGATAGCAAGAGAAGAGAGTCGGGGAGGTGTGAAGCATCTTAGGCGTGGTGTTTATTAGCAAAGATCTAAAGAGAGTTTGTCTTTATCCCGGTGGATTTTTTATGTGGAGTTTCTCTGAAAAGCATAACTGTAAGCGAGAAACTCATTAAAAGTTTCTTTCTTTTTTTATTACACCAAGAGGTGGAAATAGGTTTATGGAAAGTATGAAAAGTTTTCTCCATTTTGCGGTAAATTCCTATTTCAAACTTCTCTTTTATGGAAATCTTCCTCAATATAGAAACACAAGATTTACTCCAAAGTTTCTGTAGGTTTATGTTATTGCTATTAGTTCTAATTATTAATTATTTTTTTCATTAGTATGGTATGGCTACTACAATACCTTCAACTGTTTTCTTTTTTTGAATTGTTATGGAGAAGAAACCAATCAGATTTGCAGCATACGCTTCGGTATAGCAAACTGGGAACAAAATAGCAGTAAATATAATTTCTACAAAGTGTAATCTTACAGCTCATTGTTAGCGATGCACAAAACAGAAAATAAGGTCCAGTGATCGCATTTGTATTATTGAAATGCACCTTGGGATTGGTAATAAACTTCTCTGCTTAAATGTTTAAGTACACAGGCTTTCACCTGTGATTCAATGATTCACCCAGTTTTATGTCTATCCAAAACTGTCAGTCACCAAAGTCTGTCTATTGGAAAAGTTTTTTAGATGCCATATAATTCCATTCTCTAGTTTATTTGCAGACGGCTGACTGCAGCAGCTGCTATAATTCAAATTACAGTAGATAATGAAAGCATTATGGTTCTAATCCTGCCAACTGGTCTGACTCGGCCGATATCAGTGATTTTAGGTAGGTGAGAGTGAATCAGGATCAAGTCCAGCTGTGATGATAGGCTGTGATTTCTGTAATTATTTGGAAAGTGCTTTGAAAAAAGGATGGACTTGTGTGCCACAATATAAAATTCAACACAAATCTTGTCTTTTGATCAGCTGCTGTCTTTACCCCACTCTTTGTTCTTTGCAGAGATTTCAGCAAACACACACAAAACGGTGACTCGTTACTTAAGCGTGCAGTTCTGCACATCATTTTAGACCCAACAATTCAAAAGAAACAGATGGCAGGAGCTTTTAAGTAAAGCATCTATTTTACAAAGATGGTTGGCATATCTCATGCATAATGCAGGTTATTGGAGCTACACGCACATCTACAAAACTTGTTACGTCTCTGCATGTGTGATCAAGCAAAGCTCAGCGGGCAGAGCAAGGCACTAACCCTGGCAGAGTTGGTAGTTCTATTCCCACGGGGGGCACTCTGGTTAAAAATACAAGCACTTATGACAGAGTGTGAGATGAAAGCTTTGCACAAATGGCATACAAATGTGCAAGACACCATCCACACACCCAAACACAGACACACATTTACACACAGGGTGACTTACTGAGGCACTCTCCAGTGACGGCGTTGAGGAAATGCCCTTCTTGGCAGCTCATCCTGCAGTAGCCGCTCTGTAGCGAGGCCAGCGAGGGGCAGGAGGTGCAGTCGGCTTGGGAGGGCCCGGAGCAAGATTGGCAGGACGGGTGGCATGCTTGGAGGTTGAGGACACAGGGAGGAGAGGGAGGACAGGGAATGGGGGGTGGGGGGTATGGGAGAAAATAGGTTAAAGTTGTAATGAAAGTTAGGTGAGAAGGACAGAGGAGACAGGAAAGGCGCAATGGAGGGAAGAAAGGATGTAGGAGGAGTAATGTGGGGGAAAGGAGGCATGGAAGAGAAGAGAGTTGAAAAAAGGAGGCGAGGGAGAAGGGTGGGGAAAGACAGAGAGGAAGGAGAGAAGAGGGGATAAATGAGAAGGAGAGGAGAAGAGAGAGTTTGGAGTTAAGGAAAGGAGAATAGAAAAGAAGATTGAAACGGGAAAAAATGGGATTTAAGAGAAAGAAGAAGAGGAAGAAGAGGGTATGAACATATGACAGAGGTTTTTATTAAGCACTGTAACTGTGTTTCCAACCATCAAGCACATTGTAAGCTTTTGAGGTGTTAGTCATTAGGTACTAACACTAATGCACTATTTGGTATTATGGCCATCCACTCACAAAAGAGAGGGAAATCAGGTACAACATTTGCAGCAGACAGATATTTAAGAAATAATTTTCCAGAGTGAGAACCTTTACACAACCATTTGGTCAAAGTTGGTATTCATTCAGTTCCTGTCACTGTTTACCACACTGTGTCTTTATCCAGAAAAACTCTCATGTAAGAAATGTTTTCAAACCCACCAAACCCTTACCCTATTCCTAACTGACAATTTATTACGCAAAATTGTATGGAAACCCTTTTCCACAGCCTTAAAACGCATGTTATTAATAAACCCATGCAAAGACAGGCGCCACCACAATCTATCTGCTTCTTGTGTTTAAACTAACTAACACTGTATTAATTAATATATATTTAGAAGTTAATTGGAGGCAGAGGAACTCCAAAACAAGCTAAAAACAAACATCCTTAACATATTATCATCTTATAAAGCTGTTATAGCAGATATGTAAGCAAATAGTTGCCAAGTTACACATCTACCACACACAAAGCAACGTCATCATTCATTTAGATCTGTTTTTCTAATTTCTAGCCACCTGATCCTGAATCCAATATTTCCTCTCCCTTTAGCTCTGCTTTAGATCTAGATGTTCCTCTTTCTTAACCAGCTGGTGGGTTAATCAGAGCTTATTTGCCTGTCAGCAAACAGGGTTGAGAAAAACTCTGAGATTGAAACTTACAGTAAAACTAAAATTTCAAAAAACTATTAAACAAAAGAGAGCTTAAAAGAAATGCAGAGTTGATGATAATTCTTGCGGTCTTCTCATCATGAGCCACCCTTTCACATTACTCATAGTCATTTGATTAATTGCCATTATAAAAAAAATATTGATTAAAAGGAGCTTTAACTACACATTGTTTATTGCCAAGCGTGAAAAGTCACCAGCACCAAAACTTTGTAGTAAAAGTTTACTATCTTTCAGACAGAAATACAATACCTCTTCAAGGTATCTGGGTAGCTTCTAATGAGCCAATCAACACTGAGGGCCAAGTAAGCAAACCCTATTTATTTTGGTATCCCGGGGAGAAAGGAAATCCGAGCCCATCATTCTTCTTAAGTGTCTAGGTATCTGTCTGTGTCTGCCATTTCAATAACTCAGCCAGAGTTTGAAGATTCAATGATGTTTTCCAAAGGTTTATGTTTTCCTCAAGATAAACAAGAAAAATGAGTACGCCTCAAGACAACACTGATAGATGGGAGATAGAAGGGGTCATCTTGCTTTAAATGAGGTCAGAGATGGTAAACTGAGCAGATGTAATGAATGGGAGATTAGAACAAATGGATTTTCATTAAAGAGGCGGTGGGGGGACATGCAGAAGAGCCCTGTCCCCCCAGCTATTTCAGTTGTTAACATGCTGTATTAGCTATTGTACATGTAACACCACATGTTTATATTTTATCTACGGTATTTAGCTTGCTGCTATGTAGAGCTTTTGATGTCTAGGATTAAATCTGACCTTGAAGTACACCTTCACTGATCATCACCAATCTGTTCAAAACTTTCACCACAGGCCTTATCTGACAAAAAATGAAATTATGTGGTGAACACTAACAAGATTTTTAACACCTATCTCCGAAGTTAGCCAAACAAATTTTGTGTCAAAGTTTTGAGCCAGTCAGTGTTGAGATTGTCCGGACGTCACTGATGGTTTCGGAACATTGTGTGGAGAGGACCGGGCAGAGAGGAGGAGAAAAATGCCGCTGGCCTACGGAGAACTGCTAGACTTGGGGGAGAAGTCGAGGACAGAGCAGCACTGCAGCTTTTGAACACATAAACACCCAAAGTCGGATTGGATTATGCCCTGAAGACTACGCTGTTTACCCGCGGGATGAGCTTGGAGTTAACTGCTTTCATTAAATTAGCTTTTTACTTTAGTTTTTGGGATTCCAACATTGATTTATCTTCACTGGAACTTCTCGGCAGCGATCTTCCGTGCACATCCGGTTCCACTGATGTTGTTAGCGTCGAGCACCCGGAGCTCTGTTGGACTACTACTTCATGTACTTTGGGTTCATACAGCTGTAGTAATCACGGATTGTGTTTATTTGCGTTATGTTATTGTGTGTGAACACTTGTCAGTAGTCCAGCGATAAACAAGAGGAGAGGATTAAATTCGCGTTTGGTCTGAATGCACAGTCAGTGTCAGTACAATTACAGTTTTGCTAATGTATGGTGTATCTTATTTTAAATTTTAAATGGTCTATATTCATTCAAAGAAAACCTGCCTACCTTCATGAAAACTGCTGGAATCGTACCTTTATTATTTGAATTTTGTTTGCATTAGACTTCCTCGCAATATGCAGAAGATATTTTATTCCTCTGTTCCTTCCAGCAAAAGTGTCTCAGTGGTGTTAACCACGTGCACCTGTCAATCAGGAAAAAACATTTTGGACATGTTTTCTTACTTACACTACTGTGGAAACAAGTTTCTATGGGTCAAAGAAGGTGAGCCAATAATTGCAATGTTTTACAGCATCTGTGGTTTATTATTGATTAAAGTTTTAGACCGAGGCATCAACAGCTGCAGGCAAGCTACAGTCCATAACAACAGTAATAATAGTCCCACTGGTGTGAGAATAACATTTATCTTGATCATAGTCTTATTGGTGTAGAGGTACTATTAATGACAATGACAACAGTGATTGTTTAATTATATTTGAGGAAGTTAAAGCATCTGTTACATAACTGTATTATAAAACACTATAATAGGCATGAACACCAAGAATCAAGATTTGCAAGAAAATAGAGTGGAGATTTCACGGATAGTGAAATCTGTGTGTGTGTGTGCTATTGCACTGCTTTCTTTGTGAGAAACAGCTTCTGACATTGAGAGTAAGGACATCTTTGGAAAGCAAGGACATTTTGTCCCGTCCTCACCTTTTCAAAGGGCTGTATAAGAGTTTTGGTTTTAGGGTTATGGTTTAAGGTTAAGCTGGGGACAAGTGGATGTATCATGTAAATTGGTGTCCTCACAAATATAAAAATAAAAATATGTGCGTGTTCCCTCTCACCTTGGCACTGGTTGTCCTGGATGAAGAAGCCTTGCGGGCAGCTTGAGACACAGCGGCCCTCGTGCAGGCTGGATGGAGAGGGACAGGACGTACAGTTGTCTGCAGATGGCCCAGTACAGAGCCAGCAAGAGGGATCACACTCTGAAAAGGACACAAAGAACAGTTTTCATATTCACCACAAAAAAACAACATTTAAAGCCATGGCCAGAGACAAAGGGTGTTCGAGCCCCAACTGTGCTTCCTCACCACTTTCCCATAGACTCAATGAGAAGAATAAAGTGATAAAATGAGTGGCCTACTCATTTTTACTATTAAGCACCCAGGAGCAACCTGGACTGTACTGTTAGGGTGGGAAGTCAACTGAGGATTGTTTTGCTGTGTATATTACTAATTTAGATCTACTGTAGAAATGCAGATTATGTGCATCAAATCTGAATGAAGGATGACTGCTCTTATTGCTGTAAAGGTATACACTTAAAAATAAAAACAAGTGAAGTCTATACATCTAGGCCTGAACTGCAGCCCATTTTGCCACTATATTTGTTATCCTGCGGCCACACTACTGTATCTTGTTCCATCCCAGTTGGCATTTTTTGGAATCTGATTCTCAATAGATTTTATTCAGCTCTGCCACTTAGAAGTAATGTAACACTCACATGAGGACAGCAGCCAGCTTCACCAATCAGAAGTTACGCATTAACACCAGAGTCAGTGCCAACTCAGAGAGCCTGATCCAAGAGGGCCACAAGCCAGCAAATACTTCTGAAATATGCTCCACTCCTTAGTTTGGACTATTTAGTATAGAGAATGAAATAAAACTTCCACACGGATCATTTTAGGATGATTCATTTCTGAAGAATTTGGAAGTTGCAGGTAGGGAGATAAAGCTACACCAGGTAACTTTGCTCCAAATAAAAGCAAGGAAATAAATATGTAATTAATCAATAATAGGCAGAGGAAACTAATTCAATTTTAATTTAGAAGTAAAGATAAAGATAACAATATAAGAATACATTTGACTTAGTTTGCTGGCTTCTTTTCACAGTTGCGTTTTTAACCAGTAATTCAGCTTTATGTGTGATGTTTTGGGCAACTGCAACATTGCTTCTTTTTTTACACTTGGCTTCAAATCCATGCAACCGCTCGGTCCCTGGATTATTTACCCTTTCCCTAGATGCCCCGACACCCTTCAATCCACACCACTGCTGCCCTGAAAGCGGCCTTTTGTGCAGCCTTTGATGTCTGTTTTGGCAGCACGAAGACAAATAGCTGAGCAGCGCTATCAGCTCTGGCAGCCAAGAACCCAACGACGGCTGGAGGTGGTGGTGGGAATGAAAGACAAAAGGCCTGTCACCAACCGGCCAGGAGCACCAAGTGTGTTTGTGTATGCACTGAATTAAGTGTGTGTTTATAATTACTCCTCTCTGGATTCTTTGAGAGGGCTGTCAGCTGTATCCGGCTCTTGTTTACATTCTGCATGACAGCCACTGGCAGGAGCATGCTGGTGCTCTACCTGAGCCAACACTGTAGTGTGTGTGTGTGTTTGTGTGTGTGTGTGTGTGTGTGTGTGTGAACCTACAGAAACATTTACCCTTTAGGAACACCTCAGCGTCAGAGTGACAACCTTCAAATGTCACGACAGTTACAGTCAAAACCATCAATCTGACGTCCCATCATCGCCCACCTTTTCCTCGCTGCCTACCCATAATCCCCTTGTTCTCCATCAAATATGGCAACTTAATTGGTTAGCTGAGATGAGAAGACAAACTATATGTTTCCGTAATTGGGTTTACCACCCACCAACATGTCTGTTCATCCGTAAACACACCACCAACTAGGACTCATCTTGGTCCGATGTTCACATTCAGTTCGCACAAACCTTAATATCAACAGTCAAAAAAAAAACACACACACTTAGAGGCATATTAAAGGAGTTTCCTGTCAAACTTATTTGATTAATGAGAGGAGAGAATAAGAATGATAGGCAGCCTCTCATTCTTTTATTGCAGCATGGATATCTAATTTGTTAAAAACGCATACTGATTCCTGTAATACCCAAATTCATGTGCGCAGGCGTTCTCATCACACATTATCTGGCTCATGCGCTCAAAGAGTCGGATTCATTACTTTGTTTCGCGCTGATAGGGTCATAATTTAAGGTGGACGCAGTCGATGAGTTTGGGGGTGTGAGTGCTCCTGGGTGCCTTCGACGAATATTCCTCCCGGTACAGCACAGAGCTGATCATTACATTAGTGCAGCAGAGAGTTCTGTGTGCTACACAGCAGAAACACAAGTGGATGGTTATATCTCATTCCTCTGAAGTGTCTTAACGCATCATTCACATTGATTCTGCTGTGTTATGGTATGCACATCTGTGAGAGACAGTTTTGAGGAAATGGCAATGCAACAGACAACTGCTCTGACAGTGGAGCTACAAATACGTTGAGAAAACTCTTGCTGTTCTCAGTCCGACTTGACTGTTATCTAAACTGGAAGTTGTGATCCTGTGTTATAAATCACTTCTATTCATTCTCCTTAATCAATCTGCAGTAACTTACACTCAACTAGTAATGAAAGATATCAGGTTTCCATCTTTCACCTTACCTATTTTCTAACAACTTATTAGGCTATAAGGTCAAAAGGGAAAAGCCTACATGTCATTTTCCCCAGCAGCTTTTCTGGATCTACCTGTGGGTCTCCATGGGGTACCCATCCAGTCAGCTGTGCTGGGAAATCCTCCAAATGTAGGTTGTTACGCCCCACCCTTTGGTGGCAACTTGGGGCGAACAACATCCCAACACTGACCCAAACTTAACACACAAACACCTTTAAAACAACCAAATCAAGGGAATTTATTAACATAACAACACGATAAATTAAGAACACCAAAAACAAAAAAATGCCCAAGCTGAGAGGCAGCAAGACCAGCAGTCCCAAATCAAGAAGCCTCCTTTCTGACGCTTGCGCAGGAGCTTTTAAAGCCCACCTTCCAAGGCCAGGTGGACCTTGTTCAGCAATCATCTGAAGTACTTCAGAGGCAGAACTAGGGGCGGAAAACATGGAGAAAGCACAGAGAACACATACAGTCGTAACAAAGTGGCAATAAGGTGAAGAGGTATCCTTACTGGGGGCCACAATTATCACTACTGTTTATTTGTCGTGCAAAGGAGAAGTAAACTGATACAGAGATCCTCCTGAATCACTGAGCTCTTTAAGCACAGTGACCCCCTGCCATCCTTCAGGCAAACCTCATCTCATTCACATACTTCCTGTCAATCTAAAGCCTGTGCCCAAAGCTAAGAGCCGCTCCACAAAATGAACATGTTTAGATTAACATGTTGGAGGTATTTGTTGACCTCTGTGAACCTTGCAGTAATGTTATCAGGCTTTGAAGCTTGTTGCTGGGTCATCAAACCAAACTGGCTACAGGAACAGGGGCCAGGAAAACTAATTTTCAAAAAAGACAAATATGATTCAGATTAAGAGGGACTGGAGAGGACCTCACACTCAAAAAAATAGGCACGAGAGAGGAGCGCATGGACAAGAAACACATTGCATTGCTATTTTGTGTTTGACACCAGCAAAAGTGTCTGGTGCTCGCCTGCTGTGAAAGCTCAAGAGTTCAGGCCAACATGTCCAGCATGATCCAGCAAGCCATAGGTGACATTTTTGACAGACTTTAATGGAGAAAAAAGCCAGACGTAGATTGAAAACAATAGATTGAAAGCAATAAGCAGAATTAGAGTCAAATTCTGAATTTAAAATGGATGAGTTGAAATTTTTCTACTCCAAGCCTCTACAGATTTCAAACACACCCAGGCTTGAGTTGAATTATCTTTCTGTCATACCTCATTTAACATATATCATAACTTCCCTCAATCCCTTCAGTCCCTTAACACCGTCTAAGTGTAAAGCAACGTTACAGAATATCACCACATGCCACAACCTTTATTTGACTTGTATTTGTAACATTAATGCATTAATATTGTTTGCCGCTCCTTATTCCATCTACAGCCTCTATTCCAAAATCTCAAAACAGACAACAACTGTATTGTCTCTGATACTATGAAAAGTGATCCAACACAGTTCAGGTGTGTGTTAACCCTTCCTGTGTGTGACTGTGTGCTGCTGCTCGACCTGCTGATCGAGCAGCATTAAACCTCCTACACAAGCAACTATCTCTGTCTGCACAGGAGGGCTGCTGACTGGAGAGGAGAGGGATTTACAGCCTGGAATTTGCTCTCAGACATCTGATAGCCGTCCACTCCGGCCCACTTAATGTGTGTGTGTGTGTGTGTGTGTGGGGGGGGGGTCTCTAAGTGTGTATGTTTACATGTTTCGCTTCAGGCCAGTAGCTGCTAAGAAGGTCTGAGTATCTGTCAGAGTAACACACACACTCACACACATTTGTACAATGGCCTCCATTGTTGCCAGATGTACACCTGAACCCACTGACACACCACTGAAGCACTGAAGGAAAGCTTTGTTACTGAGAATAGAGGAAAAATAGAACAACTGCTTTACATATTACTGGTAATAGAGCTTTAATGACACGTCATTTATCGAGTTTGATCCTCAGCTCACTGTGTTGAGCCTACTTTAGGAAGCGTAGAATGAAAGAAAACTAGATCTAGATAAGTAGCACTCAGTCAGACACAATAGCTGATGTACGATGTAACTCTATGCTGAGGCAAGCAGTTCAAATCCAATTTTCAGTATAACAAACAAAGACAGTTTTCTGTGTGAGCAGGATACAGCAGAAATCCAATTTGAAGTTTTTAGGCATTGATGAAACATAATTCAAATCACATCACTGAAAATGCTGTTCAAGACATATTCAGGTGTTTTGTAACACACACACAACACAGAACACTAAATATGGAGAGAGGGATACCTGACATTTGTAGCCTTCCACCTGAACGTTGTCTTTTGAAACAAATATATTTAGCTCTAAATGGCTATGAGAAAGAGTGCTGCTGAGACACAAGTCGGGGTCTAATCTACCCTGGCTGGATCTCTGGGTGAGGGTGTCTGATGTATCCAGGCCCTGATGACCCCAGGTTACATTATTGATGATGTGTCGCACTGCACCGAAGGATCTATCACAAAAGGAGGCAAACTCCTCCATCATTACCAGCAACACCGGAGCTCCACAGGGAAGTGTCCTTGGTCGCTTCCTGTTCATCCTCTGCACCAACGACTGTGTAAGTCCCTCACCTGTTACCACATATTTCAAATACTTTGATGATACTGCTACACTTGCACTCCTCAATGACAATTCTCCCACCTACCTCCAACTGAACAGAAGTAAAATTAAAGAACTAGTAGTCAGTGCACCCAGAAAACACAAAACAGCCCAGGACATCTCCCACAACCCCACCTGCATTTAAAACGAACCTGTTGAAATGGTGGTTCAAATACCTTGTACTCACCCTACATTATAAACTAAGTTTTAATCAACACACTACTGACACCCAAAATGCTGTCAACAGAGACTCTCTGGCGTCCGAAATCACTCTCAGTCACCTGCTACTACTGTACAAGAGCATACTCCAACCCATTCTCCTCTATTGCTCCCTGTTTCTTCAATATGTTAACTGCCATCAATAGGAACAAACTTATTCGCATCGCTCGCACCGCATCAAAAATAATTGGCCTTCCTTACACCCAACCTCTCTGATCTCACCAGTAAAGCCACCAAACGTAAAGCACATACTATTGCACAAGAGCCCCAGTGGCCCCCTCGACCCCTTCTTCACACTGCTTCCATCAGGTATCAGATACAGGTCCCAGGAAACTGGGTCCGCTAAAGCAAAAGTTTTGTGCCTTCTGCAGTAGCATCACTAAATGAAGCTCCCCAGCAGTGAATGCAAAGTGTTTTTGTGTATGCTGTTTGGTTAATTTATGTGTATGTATATGTTAGGTATGTCTGAGGCTCTGTACATACTGTGAAGACAAATTTCCTGTGAGGGACAATAAAGATCTACCTTTCTAAATGAAAAAATAATTTACATAAATAACATCAAACAGACTGAATTTCTTCTTGCACTGTAACAAACCTCCACCCATGCTGCAATTTGACTTCCTTTTGCTGGTTAATCTGATGTTTCTCCTTTATACCGTATCTTGTTATTGAGAATACTTTTACAAGACTTGCTATAAACCCGAATTTCCATTTAGTGACAATAGCCTTAAACTTGGAACTGAAACCCACTGTAGCTCCTGGATTGGCTGTGTGTTGGTCCCATGTGATCACAGAGATGAATGGGTGTTAGCGGACACTCCACTTCAGTATGACCCATCGATTTGTCTCCTCCTGGATGATTAAGGGAATCCAATACTGCTAATGGCTCTTCAATACAGGTAAAGTAAACACAATTTTCTCTGGTGCTTGGCACGCTCTGACCTTAGAAGAAAACTGTTGTAAGGAGACAAAACATGCCTAAATGTTTTCAGGTTAAAGATCCCTAAAATCTGCCCCTGCTACAGGGCTACATTTTCGAACTGCCCAAGTTTTATGCAAAATGAAGAATTTTACTTTACAGGCAGACGTAATATAAACAGGAGACCAGAAACTGCAAATATGCATAGGTCTTTGGTCTAGTATAATTATTTTGTGACCCCTAAAAAGGTTGCAAACCCGTACTACTCCCAGCAAACCAGCAGGAAGGTTTTCAGTCTTGTTAATACTCACTCACTTTCCTCTCATAGTGAGAAGCACAGGAATTCTGGGAAAAGTATTAACAACGGAAGCAAATTACAGTGTTTCCAAGCTTTAAGTATCCAGGAACCATCAGCTAACAGGAAACTATAAAGACATTCCTCAGAGCACCCTGTAATTGACATTATCACAAAACTGTACTCCTACCTTGAAACGCAGCTGCTGAGAGACTTTAAACACACAACAAGGACTTATCTGAAGCAACAACGTGTGATATCCAAGTATATCCAGCTGCAGCCGCAGCACAAACGTGAAGGAGGATGAAGGAAGTGGAACTTCCAAATATGGTTTGTCACTGAAGAGACCGCGGCCAAAACATGACATTTATCCCAGCCGCCCGGCCCACGTATGTGCCCAAAGTATACAACTATATCCAGCTGCGGCCATGCAGATCCTCCAAACAACGCCTATTATCATAATTTGTTAGCGGGAAGGAAGTAATGCAGCTGCAGATCTCCAATGTTCATGCTTTGAAATCAGTTAAAACCAGTTTCAAGTTTTCATGATAAACAATAGGACAGTCCAACAGTGAATGAATACAAAAGCTTTTTATAGTATTTTAATTTCCCGAATGTGTGTCTGTGTTTGCTACATAAACAATGGATACTGCAACACTGTGTGTACCTTTAGGCTCACACCTCCTGTATCTTACATTTTAGGGAGATCGATGTTCCCTACAACAGTCTACGTTGGTTTCTTTTAACCATGACCATAATCTATCCCTAACCTTTACCAAGGTATTTATCTGCCTAAAACTGTTGAAACCATAGTGAACCATACAGATCAGAAATCAGTCCCATGACTTTTCGCAAAGGTGTGGCCTCCAGTGACATGACCGGAAGTTGAGTCGGACTTAAGTCATGAATCTGGTGAGATTAAACTGGACAAAATCAAGAAAGAGTTGAAATGTCTTCCCATAAGTAAAAGGCAAAAACCCTTGCAGCTAGACAACTGTTAGTTTACAGATGACAGATATCATTTCAATCAACCCATCAGCAGCCAATCACATTGTGTGAGCAGGAAAGAAAGGTATGTTTGGCAGTGCAGGCCAGCAGACCAATAGAGAGCCATGGACGTACTGTGAGTAACAAAAAACATACTGCTGCAGAAAACGAATATAACTGCATCACAGAAGTAAAACTTTAAGTCTCACCTGAATAGTTTGCTTTTGAATGCTACCAAGTAATAAATTCACATTTTAAAAAATGTTAATTATTCCTGTACATTTATGAAACTTAATGTTACTTTGTAAAAAAAAAAACCTACAATCACATTGATATTGGTGAAGCGTCTGTTTTGGACTCAAAACACAAAGTTCAGGACATGGTCTGGCTAGGGAATAGTTGGTCTTAACTTGGGACTTGGGATTTTTTATAGATACATTATGAAAGGTACAGACAAATAACAGTGTCCTGCTGATAGGGGCACCAGATGAGACATATTAGTCATTAGTCATCGGTTTTCAAAAGGTAATGTCAAACAGCCTATTTAATGGTTTAGTTTAGAGTACTAGCTGGATATGGTGATGCAAAGGTCATAAATTAGTACAATACGAACAACACACTGAAAAAAAGACTTTCAACAATAACTACTCTAAAAAGGAATGATGAAAACATTGCAATAGACTGAGCGGTATGAGTGCAACATCTTTCTTTGAGATCAGGATCACGTCAGTGGCATCTCATGTTATCAAAACCACTGTTACTGATGCACTCAAACGTCTCTCTCTGTGAAGTAAATACCTGAAATTCAACCTTAATGTACACAGCGGCTTTAATACCACAGTGTGTGCTTTATCTCATTTCAAGTAACAGCAGCTCTGGCAGATGAAAATTGAGCAGAGAGGAAAGTAAAGCTGAACAAAATGCCAGCGTCGGCGAATGACTTGGCTATGCTTGAGGAAGAGACAGCAGGTAGAACAAATACCATTCTCCCTGCCAAATACTGAATGCAGTATGGTCAGTGGGCACAAAGACTGAACAGGGACGTAAGAAGATTGTAGAGCGGTGATTGTGGTAAATGGATAGAATTTCACAGCACACAGTTGGAGGTATGAGGGAGGTAGAGAAAACTGATTACAGTCTTTTCATCTTCCATTTCCTCTCCGTTGTTGTCCTGCTTCATTAAAAAAAAAAAAAAAAAGAGAAACGGGAAAATAACCTCCTGGCAAACTGGCAAGGAGGTAGTAGTTGCAGCAGTGTGTGTTTGTGTGTGTGTTGGTAGGCGGGTGATTATTCTCACTTGACAGACTATCCCCTCAAACCTAAAACCTTAAAAATTAGCCCATTACACGCACAATTTCACACTCACAAACAACCTAATCAGGTGTCTCCACACACACTATCTTCCCTTTCCAAATAGAAACACACCCACAAAGTCTACGCAAACACATGCGATTCTAGATGCCTTCCAAGCACCAAATCAAGACCAAACTTCAGTCTACACGTTTAGTATTGTGTCAAATTAAAATGATATTTTATGACATCATCAAAAAAGTAAGATACACAATTTGAATGAAGTGATTCATCAGATTAAATGAGTAAGTATTCTTTAATAAATTAACTTTCTTTAATGAATGTAAAATCCGAACTGAAGCAGAATATTTCATTAAGATAAAAATCTGTTGTAAATTTTGTAATGAAAAAATCAATCAATCCTACGCAGCCACCACTGGATTATAATTCTGAAAATAGAATAATACTAATAATAATATTTAGAGGCTCCCTCCTCAAAAATATTTGTATTCATTTTCAGTGATGTCATTTGAATTATGTTTCATCCATGCCTAAAAACTTCATTTAGTGTATTCAAATAAAGCCCCTGTTTGCTAAAATAAACAACATTGTGTTTGCTTTATTATTGATTTCCCTTTGTGCTCTGATTGGAGTTTGCTTGGATTCAATAAACTACATTAGTGCTGCTGATTACCTCATCTGTTTTAAAATGCAAAAATGACTTGATTGATAATTGGCTTGGTAAATGAACAGCAAAGATAAAGGAACAAATTAAACCACAAATCTTATGTACTCACCTCTGCATGTCTGCATGTAATCCAGAAACCTGTGAGCGGGACATCCAGCTGTGCAGACGCCGTGCTGGAGGTGACTGGACTGCGGCAGGAGGGCTTCCTCTGGTTTGAGACAGCGGAGGCAGTCTGAGGCCAAGGGTCCCACACAGGAACGACAAGAGGGATGACAATCTAAAAGCAGGGGAGATGAAAGGTCAAAAGGGCAGACTGACAGTGGTAGAAATTTATAAAGCGCTTTTTACGGGCATGTATAATTTAGAAAGACTTAAGATATAAGCTCTTACTGTGGCAGGTGTTGTCCTGGGAGTAGAGTCCCTCCCCACAGGTCTCCACACACTGGCCTTGGTGGAGAAGGAGCCCAGATGGGCACAAGGTACACTGGGATACTGAGGGACCCCAACAGGCAGCGCAGGAGCTGTGGCAGCCTGAGAAGAAAAGGAAAATAGAAGAACTGAACCAAAACTGTTGGTTTAAAGATGGTTAATACCTCATGATATTTAACTTGTCTATGATGCTTGAAGTGGATTACAAGCATTATAGCAATGTAGCAAGACCTTTAATGTTTGTGCATAAACAACAAAGGAGATTGCTTGAGGGACAGTGGGTTTTAATCCCAGAACTTTCACTTCATAAACAAGTTACTTCACCTGATTTTATATTTAAAATTTTGAAAGACCAGAGATCTAAAACAAATAATTAAAGTACAAACAATAGTTAAATATTGTTTCCATGTTTCCGTTGGTTACATTTTCTTATTATACAAAAAACGTCAATTTAATACTGTTTCCAACTGTTAAATGATACAAACCACACCCAAACACCAAGAGAGTATGACAACGAATGAAAACTACACCATGATGAAACTAATTTAGTAATGACAGTTTGACAGGATATAAGGAGCAACAAACAAAACAAGATAAACCTTAAGTTTCAGGTGACATAATGATGGACTATTTGGAAATAGATAGATTTGACAACATTTTCATGTAAACATGCCAAATAACATACACATTTAAAATATTTGTGTCTGTTTGAGGTGTTGAAGATTTAGCCTACCTCTGCATCTGCTGTGGTTATCGGGGTAATGCTTAGCTGGACACTGGGAAATACATTTCCCATGATGCAAGGCGGTCCCCCGGGAACAGCTCATACACTTGGGGTTGTCAGGGAAACAGGAGGCACAGGACGAATCACAAGCTGTGAACGTATGTATATGTTACTGGCTTCTGATTGGAATGATAAAATGCATTGTGTTCAATAGAAAAATTAATTTTACTCAAGTATTTATAAAGTCTGTGTGAGACATACTGGATTTCGCTTTGAGAGGAGTTGTTGGCAAGTATGTGTTTAGTTTTTGTAGTAGTGTAGTTGTAGTTTGAACAGTGAAACTTTACAAATTGATAAGATATGAAGAGTCTGTAAAATGTCTACTAAAAAACAAGTCAAAATACATCCAGAAAACAAAAGTAAACTTTGTGTGTGTGTGTGTGTGCGCATCTAATGTTGACACGACACTTTGAAATGTACACATGCTCAAACAGATCTTTGCCTCCATCTCAACAGAGGCTAACATCAGTAAGAGGTATTCCTACGGCATGCTGGAGGGAACAAAAAAGGAAACCTATCAAAATCTAACCCAGGAAGGCCAGAGGACAGAAATCGGGAAGATAAAAACCCTTCAGCTCTCTCCAGATGGTGACATTTTAAACCACGCCTCAAAGCACAAACTGGTGAGTTCTAATGGATTTGACCTTTATCCATAAAGTTCCTCAGGTTTTGATATTTTCTAAAAGAGGGCTCATTGCTGAGTGCTTTAACGCGTCCGTATGAACTGGAGAAAAACATCCTCCAGGTGGTTCTAACCAAAGAAAGAGCTTAGCTATGTGCTGCTAAGTTCAACATGGCCCTGAGGGAGATCTATTCCTGCTCCTCTTCATCTTACCACTCAGAAATAGAAACCATCCATATTCATACAGGATCCCTTTATTCAAATAGCTTCTGAATCCTCATTAGTGCAAGAGAGAACCGCTAATTATTGTATTTTTTCAAATTGTTTGTTTGCCAACTCTGGCTACTGCTGACTTGTCATTTTGGCACCATGTGCTGGCAAGAAGCTCCACAGGGATGCTAAAAAACACAAGCCCAAACAAACCTTCACCTCCAGTTCAACACTAACAATAAACCTGTTATTGTCTCAGATGATGTTTTCTGTTTACGGTATACTGCATTGGCACATTCTGTGACATCTAATTTGTGTGTTTAAATATCAGCTTTCACTCCTCAGCAAACACATTTCAGATGGATGACTGCAGTTTTGTAAGTTGCTTTTTCCTCTTAAATGTTTTTCTTTACATAGCCTTGAGTTTAGAAAACAAAACACACCAAATGACCAATCATGATGTCATCTCAGTGCTTCATAAATGATGCTTTCAGACAGCGTGACAAAGCGTAAGTACTTTACGCTAAAGGTGCCCTTCAGCGTCCGTATGAAACGCCACCATTTGCTACGTCCCAGCAACACAAAGGAGGCTAACCCTACCTGCTAGCACGGCCGATGTGCACAGCTGTAGGGTTAGCTGGTCGAGATGCATAAAGTCAGTGACTTAGGTTTAGGTACTAACATTTCGTGGTGGATGGTTGTGGTAACGTAGCTAGCAAGCTAGTACTTTGGGTCTGTACGAGACGCCCCGGAGCGTCTCATGGAGACACACCCGGTGCGACTCATAGAGATGCTGAAGGGTACTTTTGGGGTCAAATAACTACGTTTTGTCACTTTTTCTGAAAGCGTTAGGCATTAGACGCGGTCTGAAATGACAGTACCACACTTACAATCTGCTTGTTTAAACCTTACTGAAGCTATATCGTCTGTGCATCACAGATTTCACAAAAATCTACCCTAACATATATTTTAGGATACAGAGTTCAAATTAGGGCTGTCTCCGACTAAGGATTTACATAGTCGAATCAGAATCGTCAAGTCCTGCCTACAGTCGACTGATAGTCGAATCATGTGTGCGCGGCGATTGCGAGCCGGGGAGGTTACACAAAGTAGCTCCGCCTTAATCTTGAGAAGCTGCAGAGCTGCAATCTCTATTCATTCAATTTACACTGTAAATTTCCAGCTAAACTGAGGCTTTTTGAAGACCTTTCTCTCTCTCTCCTGCCTGTCATTCATCAGTCTTGTGCAGAGCTGCGTGCATGCCGTGCTGCTGACAATTGCATGCACATCACGGTTCCTCGCTGGTCTAATTCAAGTAGTCGGCTATTTAAAAACGATATGAGATTCTTTGTGTGGTTCATCAACGGTGATAAATTATCCGAAAGTCCCGTTAGGTGTAGACAACTCGGCGCAACACCGGTGAAGCCGGGGCTCAGTCTTTTCAGCAAGTGTTCCTCTTCTGCCACCACACACATACATGCTACGCTTAAACTTGCACACTGACGACCCAGTGTTAGGGTTTCAATTTTGGATTTATTTACGTACTTTAAAAACATTTATTGAAAGTTTTAGTATTTTATTTACAGCATTATATGTTGAAATGTATATTGTAATAGGTTGTATGTTAACTTATTTGGACAAAACTGGTAGTTCTATGTAAAATCAGAGGTCGAGCCCCCCCATATCGCCAAAATGGCATGATCCTTGTTTCGCTGCAAAGCTTCCACTGTGAGGTTGACAGTCGAATCAGGCTCAGCCCATCAAAGCCGAATCTTCAACTATCCAGGGTCAGCCCTAGTTCAAATAAATTCTTTGTTGTTTGGTGCTCTCTTTTTCCTGTTTTTGTGGATAGTGGCCAAACATGCAGGCAAATGTAGTTAAGGTAAGATATTTTCAGTGCAGCAAAAACTAACAACCATACAATCAGAGAGTCCAATTACTGCACCCACATCAGCAGAAAATAGACCAGAACACCATACACGTTTTGTTTTCTATGCAGCTGAATGTAACATTGTTTATCAAAAAAAGTTAAATAATATTCATCCTTAAACCAAGTTGGTTTTGTCACTAATTTCCATGTTAACCACATTTACATGCATGTGTGTTGGGTCTAGGTTAACTGATTTAATTCCTGAGGGGAAATTTATCTGTAGCAATTGATCCTGACCTTAGATTGGTCCAATTTTTTTTCCAAAAGAAAAACCTGCTACACCCATAATAGCAACTTGCCACAACTTTACCATAGCAGACGCCTTCTTGACCATAGAAACCATCACCGCAGTCAGGAACACATTCCCCCTCTTTGAGCAAGGCAGCTGGGTCCGAACATGACCAGCACTCCTGCTGGCCCGGCCCACGGCACTCTGAGCATGACTCATGGCAGCCTGGTGGAAAGAAAAGAAAATATTTACTGTAGGTATCTATATACTGTATATTGTCAGTGTAAAATTGTCTTAAATAACCATACCAGTATTTATGTCTTAGCCCACTTACTACATATCACATATACTTTTTATTCTTTTATCTACCACATGGAAATCATTACACTGTACATGATGTGTAACTAGTTTTTCAAATCATCTGCACTTCCTCCAATACAATAGAACAACAATGTAGCTTTGACGACAATAGAATAAGACATTGTGCTTATTGTGATGGATTACCTAAATCCAGCCTGTTTCAAATCTCTGCCTGGAAGGTAGGATAAACAATCAATATTCTTCAAAACTAGAAGCTTGGTTTGAAATAAATACACCTTAATACCCGTTGCGCATTAGGGACTCTTTTAAGGTTGTAAAAGAACACTATAAACAAAAGAGATAATCAGGACCTTGCAGATACTGTAGAGCTGGTTTGTGTGTGTGTGTGTGTGTGTGTGTGTGTGTGTGTGTGTGTGTGTGTGTGTGTGTGTGTGTGTGTGGTCTCCATAGCTGCCGTTACCAGTGGCATTTTATGTGTGGTGGTACACTAACACCACTGACAAGAGTGCAGACTGTGTGTGTGTCTCCTGTGTTATCAGGAGGCTGGAGTGAGGTGAGCTATGTGGGGAGTCTGCGTTAAAATTTAATAGTGTGTCTGTGTGAGTTTGTTTATGTGGTGTGTGTGTGAGTGTGTGTCTGTGTGTGTGTATGTGTGTGAGACAGTGTGAGCCAGAGAGACAAAGAGAGCCGGAAACAAACCAGGAACAAGAGAGAGACAGAGAGACACACACAATCTCGTAATTCGAGTGAATTAATCTTGTTTTGTTTTTGATGAAATGTGGGTTTACGTGTGTATTTCTGTGTCTTTGTGTCTTCATATACCGGCACACTCATCTGTCTGTATATGTGTATGTGAAATAGAAGCTCCAGAAACCTATTTCAACACCAACTGGTATGATTACACATGATTTCCCAGCGGCCCACAGACTGAAGCCAGATGCCACAGCAAGTGCAAAAAAACAAAAAAACAATGCACACAAAAAAGATAGACAAAAACAAACTTCAGGAAAACACAGGAGTGCTGTGAAAACTCTGGGGCTGAAACAGCTAACCTTGGCACTGATAACACTGTTTACTTCACTGTTTACTTACACTAGATTCCCAATGCTCATTCACCAGCTGGTGCTATTCTGTTCCAAAAAAATGACGTATGCATTAAGGAACCTTTGTGAAGGGTTTCCAGACTCAAAAATGGGCCTTCGGGATCGCCTTCACAAAGAGTTCATGTTCCATGAATATTTATATGAAACTCTTTCTGATCTTTTTTCACGTGCTTGTTCCCATTACCATCTAACTAGAGTTAACATCCCAAATATGTATTCCTTTCTTAAAGAACGCGGAAATGTTTGAGGTTTGTGGAAGCACCTTTAAAGTCCATGAATTCTTCCTAAAAAAGACTGTTCAAATGCTCTTCTGGGGTTCCCCTGTGGCTGCAGTCTCGAACCCCTTTTCTTTGAGGATTTTGAACAGATCAGGCCTTTAACCCCTCCTATCATGTTTCCGATCGTAAGAAAAAGTTCCTTCTTGTTGTCTTGAAGCCTCTTCTGTGATATAAGTGCTGTCAGATTTCACAGCCTTTCGTGGAAGGATTCTTAGAGGTACCTGCTGTGCAATGCCACTGGTTGGATCAAAACGATTCCATGAAGCCTTATTACCTTTTTGGTGCACTAAAAACAGAAAATGTGCCTTCATGCTTTAATATTTTAGTAGTTCACTGGATTTTCTTTCATTTCAGATGCCTGTTTTCCACACAAATTTGCACCTTAGTTTCAGATATAAAGTGGTTACATTCAGTAAAAAACATTTTCTACCCACTTTCTTTCTTGATTGGCAATTTGTTTGAAAATGCTCCCATACATCACCAGTTCTACAAGGCGCTAAACTTAAAATTGAAAGATAACAGTCTTGACTTGAAGTAATATTTGTGCTTGAATTTCCCCAGACCTCTAAGCTCTTTCTTTGGTTAGAACCACCTGGAGGATGTTTTTCTCCAGTTCATACGGACGCGTTAAAGAGAAAGTAAAGGTTCTTTTATCTAGTGAGAACCCCCAATATACCCTATTGGTTCCCTTTGAATCTCAGTGAAGTCTTTGGTTTTAAGAGTGTGGAATATAATGCTAAGAAATTAGACACTTTATAACCCCCAACCCATTCATCATCTCCTTGAAAAACAGGGTGTGAAGTTGCAAGGAGAAGAAAGCTAGATAGATAGCTAGATATGCAGGTGAAAATAGGTAGAGCGAATGAGGTCAAAGGACTACAGAAGTGAAAAGAGACAAAAAAAAACATGAAATTCAGAGGAAGGGAAGTGAGAAGAATTCAGAAAGGATAAGAAGTGAGCATATGCTTTAAGCACAATTCTTTTTATTTCCTCATTAAACAGAGACAATTGTCGTATCCACTGTCATAATCAGCCTTATTGCAGATCGTATTTTAATGCAAATTAAAATTCAGTTATGGGTTAAAAATTATAAACCCTTACTATTATTAAAATAACTAAGTTAGAGAACTGTGAATGTGCTCTCTTACCTTCTAAGTGAGACAGCTTAATTTGGGTTTGTTTATCTAATCCACACAGATTGTGTTATTTTTCTCCTTTTCTTTTTGCAGCGTTTTCTCATGCAAATACATTCCCATCCCTCCAACATATTTACTCCCAGTCATGTACAAGGTGACTAAAAGACTGCGTTCACTCTACATATGGCGTATTGTGCCTCCCTGATAACGTCGATACAGTACTTATTTTTGTCCGATTTTGTTACGTTTTGTGTCACATTATTTAGCATGTGGGGAAAAGAAAATTAAATTCTCTCTTCAGAATGAGTACTTTTCACTCTGTACCTTTTGAACAAATCACACCTTTCTTTGTTGGTCTCTCATTAACTCTCAACGTTCCTTTCCTTTTCATTTCTCTTGACATTCAGGGAGAAAATGACCAACCACCAGCCAAATCGACTTTTTACTGTTTTCACTGTGGGTGGATAAATCCGTCTTTTTGGCCACACTGCTGGTTTCAGCTCATGTCCGCGTGATATGAACATTTCTAAACAACTTTGAGAGACTTGAAAAACGTATCTTTTACAGTGAATACGCGTGTCTTTATTTATGGACACATTCGGCATGTGAGCTCTAACAATGTTTTCCTTCTCGGTACATCAAGTGCCTGTGGGACAAAAATTTGAGAGTCAGCTGCTGAAAACTATTGCACTCATGAGCTGGGCAGGGAAACCTTGAAGGGAAAGAATAAGTAAACACGGACATTGCGAAAATAACTATGAGTCGGTCATTTCTTACATTTACGATGTAGCCGTTTGGCAGCTGACTGTCAAACCTCACCATTTTCCAAGAGAACTCAAAACCACCAAAAGTTTTCAGAAAAGCACCGTGCAACTTTAACAGTTTTCATGGTCAAAAGTAAAGGTATAGAAATGTTCTCTGTGATTGATTACCTATCTCAGGCAGCTTTCAAGTATCTGTCAGTTCATTTTCATATTGCATTGACATGCATGCAAACTAGCAGCTGCCTGAGAGGTAGGAAATCAATCTAAAACTTTTATATTAAACTCTGAAATATGGATAGCAGTGAAGTATACACAATTTAAAGTAAGAAGGCTAAAACATGGACATGGATTAAAATGAATGACAAACTCTACTGAAATCACAGGACATGCCTGGCTTACAGAAGAGTAAAGTTTTTTGTTCAGTTCTGTGTGAGAAGGGTTAAAGTCCTATCCTCCAATGTGACAGGAAGATTGACAGGTGAAATAGTTACCTGGGCCACTTTTCAATTTTAATGCTCCTCAGCTTCCTATTTCCTTGCCATCATTTCCTTGTCAATCTTCTCTCTCTCAGTTTCTGAAGCTGTGCACTACTTTCTCTCTCTCCTCCCATGATGCTTCTCATTTCTCTGTCCCAGGCTTTTTCTTTGCCTCAGCCCTCTCTTGAGTTTCACATTGGATTTCTTGTCATCTCTCTTTCTCTGTGTGTGAGTCTCTGTTTCTTTCTCTCAAGCCTTTTTCATCCTTTCGCACCCATCAATTTTAATGTGTCTCTTTCTAGCTGTCCTCTTCTTGTTCTTCTTAGTATGCTGAAGATCCAGAGAGGATCCGTGGTACCTTCTCACAAAAATGATGATGCTCACACACTGTCATCTCTCACTGAATTGCATTATCTATACATCATAGTTATTCCACAGTCATTTCTAAACTATTCTTCTTGCAAATGAAGAAAAAGGATGAAACGGGCATCTACTGTATAAGCATTCTGTACAAGATGGGACTACATTTATACGATTGGGTCACTCCACACACACACACACACACACACAAACACACACACACCAAAAATGGTTATGGCCAACAGGGGGATTACACGTCCTTTACCTTGCCCCTTGCAGGAAAGCAATTTATTTTTCTGTGCAGCACGAAGCGCAAAGTTATCAGCAAATGTAATCCTAGCAGGCCAGTTGCCAAAAACCTCCTCTAAAGCCTACTCTGCATAAATCAGGGGAGGTTGAGATGAATGCACAGTCACACGGTGCAGCAGATAATCTTCGCTCTCTGTCCTTCTGGGACGGGCGAGGACACGCGATTACTGCGCTGCCGTGGTTCACAGCCCCCCGAACCTCAAGTGGTGCAACAAGATGGGATGAGAGATTCAGCAATTAAACTGAGCACTGAGAAAGCAGCTCTGCGAAGTGAAATAAAAAATAAAACAGGAGCTCGTTTTACAAAAATCCTTTTTACTGGAATGGAATCGGAAATGGAATCAGGTTTGCATGTGAATGTTCTTTTTTTTCTCTTATTCTGATACACGGTCACTGAGAGCATTATGCATTTGAGACATCCAAAACCTGTACAGACTTCGATTCAGAGACTGCTTCTGACTGCATGAAGAAAGAAAAC